TAATATATGGTGGTTGTAAGCGCCCGGCGCAATGTTTATTAAAAAAGTCAATTAAAAAATCACTACACACGGACACTTTACTACCTCGAAGGACCAGATATAATTAATTATAAAAAAAGGCTATATCAGACCTGAAATAACATATAACTGAATAGAAAATAATTAGTTCAGAATTTGTTTGTAGAAATGTAATGTAATAATGTTAGTAAATTGTATTAGATGTTATCGGGTCAAGAGATACGTACAGAATAAATAAATTCCTTATAGCTATCTTAGTACCTAGAGTAGGGTAGGTAATTATTTTATTACAGATTAGAGGGAGTTCAGTATATAGGTAGAGGAAGATGGATAAATAAAATTTGTGAGGCTCGAACAGTGGTGTATTTTTTACTATAAAACTTGTGTTAGTGTGATTTTATAAACATTTTTTTCGAGAAAAAACAAATGTTTTAATAATTCATAATATGTTTTTATAAATTTGATATATTTGCTAATTTTTAATTTCAAATTTTCTAAATATTATGTTTGAAATATTACCAATTTTTTTAAATTTTGTATTCTATAATATATAATATTTAATTCAATTTAGTTACTCATACAGATTATGATATTCGTTAGTATAATATAGCATAAATAAAATGGTATTTAGAATTTTTTTGTATTTATTATATGATTTCGTCTTCAACTTCAAGCTCAAATTCTGTACCATAGTATACTTTGTGCAAAACCATGATTTAAAGACGAGCATTCTAATATGTCCTGTCCAAATTGACAAATATTTCTCAGTATAATTTTATAACTTTTCGCTGTGAGATGGGAAATCACCGGAGTATCGTTCTGCGAATGGATATTCTTTTTTCTGTCCATATTTACTTGCCGAAATACACATTTTAAATTCCACATCTCCATCGCATGATATGGGTTTATTTTTTAAACAAGCATTGCACATTTTTATACTAGATTCGTTTCTGTTTTGATTTCTAAAAAATGAGATGCACATTAAAATTATATAAGAACATCGTTATTTATTTATTTATTAATTTTACATCATATCCCGTTGGCTGCTGGTTTTGAATAACGATCGGTCCTGACGGTAGATCTCGTCGTGATCAGCTTGTATTCGGAGATCACGATTATGATTTTCTTGGTCGACTATTAATCCAGCCGCTTTAAATCTGCTAAATAAGCCTTATTAATATAATTATAAGGCTAAGGAATTTTGGCAAACTTACACAGATTGCTCTTCCCGCGTTCTCTGAAACAACTCCTGTTCCCAAAGCAATTGTTCTTTATGATTGAGTTGTTGTTCTACCAGCCTATTTTCTGCTTCACACATAATCTGAAAATTTAGAACATATCTTTCTGAATGTATATTCTATTTCCCGACTAAAATAATTTATTCTTACCGATGGAACAGCAATATCAGATAAAGGACAAATGTTTTGCGGGCTCGAATATATCTTTGTCTTTATTGAATTGGGTGTTTGAACTGAATTAACCATTTCTTTACATGTGCAACTTGAATTGCATATTGATTCCGTAGTGATTGCTGGCCCTGCTGGTCGCTTCCGACAGGATTTCACAGAGCATGATGGTTCAGCTATGATTTCATCATTTTCATTGTTCAAACAACCTTCGAAGCGATTCATTTTTACTGCTAGTTCATTTTCTGTATTGCAAATATTTTCTTCTGTAACAATTGACAAGTATGGCGTTTCGTCATTTATTCCTCGCTCACAGTTTACAAACTCTGCCGTATAATTAATCGATTAGTTGAAAACAATTAATTTTCATCAACTTATGTATACTGTTTTTTTTTCAATATTTTTCGCGATAATTTAACCTACCTTGCTTTAGGAATGTTGTATGATTCTCAGAAAGGTCTCCCAAATTAGTATCAGACATTGATCTCAAATTCATTTCTGCTGGACATTGATGTATATTTACATGTGAAAATTTTGGGCAGATGGGCAATGTTGATCTTTTCTTGCATGATTTGAATGGACATTTGCTACTTGCCTTACTATCAGAACGACATAGACATGGTCTATCAAAAAAACACTTGTTTATGAATTCATCAGTAAAATTTAGTATTTAAAATTTTAAAATAGTATAAGAAATGTATCTATACCCGTCTTGTGTCTTGCAGAATATGAAATAAGCAATAATCATCATAAATATTTTGAATGCAGGGAATCCTATACCGAGTATATAAATAACCAGCCGATTTTTTTCTATAAGTTTAATAAGGACCACGTAACAAGCCTGGATAGTAATGTTACGTTACATTCAATAATTTTTAATTGTAAAGATAATTACTTAAATATAAAAATTGTAAACAATTATTTAATGCTTACTGTATTCATATTAGAATTTTCAGTATCAAAATTTCCTGCTGTACATGTTTGTCCACGTTTACAGCATGATGGAGGTATCCAAGATTGATTAGACCACTTTTGATATCTATCATCGTTCGGAGCACTAACAAAATTGCCAATTTGCATTTTGAAATCTGTATGGTTTCTACCTCCGCAACACTGGTATTCTATATGCAAAAAAGCAATAATAAAATGTTGTATATTTTCAAATTTTTGCTGTAGAAAACTGAGTCCAGTTCATTTATTTACTATTTTACTTCGAAAAGTATGCTTTCTACATTCTATCTCGACCAAGGAATTACTACTATATAAATCGATTATTCTTAAAAATATTCTATCCATAATGGTAAAATGGTATTGTTTGAAATTGTATATAATCTTAGATATGTTTGATTTATGTTTTTTTTTCTCTGTCGTATTCATAGTAAAATAAGGATATGTTTTTTGAAATAGTACCTGTGTGAAGTTTTTCCCATTGGCCTCTTATATCACCTCCTTCTCTAATTCTGAAGTAATATGCTAGGTGAAGTAGCTGTATTCTCAATGACAGTATATTCTTGTTTAAAAATGTTTAAAATTAAAATATCTAGTTTTATTGCTATTGGTTTTAAACATTTCGTGATGTGATTATAATACAACGTACTACTATATAAATTAATGCATTTTTTTACAATTTACCTTATTAGCAAAACCTTGGCTTGCTATTGCTGTTATAACTTGTGTCACCATTACCAATAATACTAAGACATAAAACTGATAAAAATATATAGCATCTGTATGTGATTAGTAAAGTAATTTGAGAAACTCACAACATTAACCCAATATATAGAATTTTTTGCACTCGCCACATATCCAAGAAAACTTATGATGAACACTATAATTCCCAGAACCAAAAATGCGTAGGAATACTTTTGTAGTACAAAAGGCTCCGTTATGTCCTGCATTTTATATTTTATAGAATAATAATCTATGTCTAACACATCTTTATGCAGTACTTGACATTACCTTTATAGGATAATCGAATTGTTGAAAAAAAGTTAGAAATGATAAGAAAACCTTTTTCTTTATGATCATCCATATCGACGTCGCTATTACACAACCGCTTAGAAAATGAATAAAATACGTCAATAATAAAAGAATAATAATCATGATGACTACAAATTACTTTTAGAATAATTTCTAAATATTTGACGTCAATCGGCAAAAATATTTTTCTCTTTTGTTTTAAAATTACGATGCAAGGAATAGGAAACATTAACATACCATAATTTTTATGTTTATCTTCGTTTATACCATAATAGCTATAAACCAATAGCTCATTTTGATCATATCATCATATTATATCCATATAAATGGCAATAATTTTTTGTTTGTCTAGTTCAATTTCCAGGATTTTACTTATCATTTTTTTTCTGATCAAATAGAAACATTTTAGTAGACATACTAATGCTTCATTTTTTGAAGTAAAGCAACTTTCATGTTTTTTGTCGGAATTCTTTATAATAAAAGTTGATTTTCATAAGGTATTTATTCAAAATATAGCGAAATACATACTGGACAAGCATTCACCAATCACTTTCACAGAAAACAGAAAATAATGAAGTTATATTTAATGCGTTTTTTTGTTTTGATTCATATCGTCATATATATATGAATGATGACACACACCAAGTGTCGAAACGTTTAATGGAATAAATAATTTTGTTATTTAATCTTTTTTTAATTTGACGGTTGGGCTGCAAAAATAATATATATATATATATATATATATATATATATATATGTTTAATTTGAGTTTAATATTCGGGCGTAACATCAATAAAAATAGTATGAGTTTTTTTTTAAATTTATTTATTTAAAATCTATACGTTTCGGCTAGCATCTTAGCCATCATTCAGTGGTAATCAAGTTAACTATAAAAATTGAAACTAAATAAATTATATGAATGGAAACTTCATGGAAAAACAATAATAATAATAATAGTAATAAAACACTTACAATTTTGTATCCTAATATAGCATATGAAACCATTATTAATCCATGGTATGAGCATGTGCACATTGATAAGATATATATTTTTTAACACAAACATCACAAATGGTAAAACACACTAATAATCATGATAACTTAACAAGTTGTCGAAACTCAGTATTTACTCTTCGGAGTTTAGGATAGATGATGGCTAAGATGCTAGCCGAAACGTATGGATTTTAAATAAATAAATTTAAAAAAAAAACTCATACTATTTTTATTGATGTTACGCCCGAATATTAAACTCAAATTAAACATATATATCAACATCAAATTCAAGACTATTCAAAAAAAAAAAAATATATATATATATATATATATAATAAAATATTTATATTATTATTAATTATTCCAGTTATTTAATTATATATAAACTATTGAATTACCAATAAATTGTTATCGGTAAACTTAATGATTTATATTTATTTATATATAATAAAATATTTCATTAATTATTATAATAATATCTGGTCTAGCATCTACTTCTAAACAGACTACGTCTTTATCATAATCAAGGTATATGAACAGAAAATGAATATGATATATTTATTGTTATATCTGAAAAATGTATGTATTTTAATAAATATTTCTTTTGCAGATATAAGGATTCCAAGTGCCGTTTAATTTTGGACAATGAAGCAATTCTAATACAAAGCCCGCCATGGCATACCATGATGCTACGCGCTAAGGTAAATTACTAAATTTCATAAAGGCAAATTTAGAATGCATTTTTAAAATATCTGATAATTTGATGTGCACATGTCTAGTGATCATTTTTTACTCACCACCATATGGCATTTTAAACTTCCCGAAGAAGAAGTTTGTTGTCATCAAAAAATCCGATTCGCTAATTTTATGTTTTCTCGACGTTTCGAGCCATTCTGAATTAAATCAGACCAAATTTGGAAAAAGTCAGTGTGTGTGCGCGCGAACAGATTTTTCCAAAAACGGCTGGATTTCAAAAATTAAAAAGCCATTCGATGTATCTCGATGAGGACTAGCATTTATTAATTTTGTGCGATAAAAACGTTTCTTCGTCAATAGCAAAACAGTGAAAAAACTTTCGTCTTTTTTTAGCTCTCAATTCTGAATTGATTTTAAAAAATGAAAAACTTCGAAAGATATTGATTGGGAAATATACTGATTAGTTTTAGATAAAATCTACCAAGCCCTTTTCTTGAAATTCACTGTTGAAAAAAAAATTGACGATTTTTATGAACATTTTTTGGCATCATGGTATTATATAGCATACTAAAATGTTACGTCCCTATGACAAATAGTTTAATGTTAAAAATTCATCAAAGTTTGAGAAAATATTATAGTTAAGATTGCCTTTGTGATGTGATGATTCAAACATTATCAATTCATTAAAATTTAAAATAATAAGCTACAATTTTAGGACATACAAGCACTAGTATCTGTGCAATATAATTAAAATAATTACAGTTAATTTCAAATTTGAGAAAATCCTATTCGAAATCGCAATGGTTAGATTTAATTGGAAGCTCTAACTTTATTTTTGAAATAAACAGTTGGAAATTTTATCTAAATATCTATATTTCAATTTCTCTTGATTAAGTTAATTCTTACACATTTTGGGAAGTTCATGCAACTTGCCTTAAGGCTAAATGCCACTTTCAACTAGTTGTACTTTTTTTTGGATCTCCGTAATCGCTGGTATGTCTTGCCAAGAATGCCGTTCGACAGTTTTTCACTTTGTAAATACAAATGAAAAGTTTTTTAAATCCTTCAATTAATTCAAATCAACATTTTTGATACTTTTTGTCCCTTATCTTCGAAACGGCTGGACCTGCCTTTGCCAAAAACTAATCATCACGTCTCCCCATCAATACAAATCGAATGTTTTTTGATATATTGAAATTGATTGATTCGTGTTCACGAAATCTTCGATGCAAATTAGTATCCGCACATACACACACATACATCAATTTTTTCTAAGGTATGCCAAAATGTTCAGAATCCTTTGTAACGTAAAGATATATAAAAAATGCATTTTTGTTTTTCTTGCAATTACTATAACTTGTAATTACACATATTATAAGCACATTTGAAAGGCATCAATGTGAAATGGCTTTGATTAATTTTTAGTAGAAGCGAAATTTTTTTCAGTTTTATTGACATTTACATATATAGCTGAGTCTTATATCTTATTGATCAAGTTGACTTTGTATACGTATCATTAACAATATTTATTGATAATTTGTATCAAACGATACCTATTGATTTTTTAACACCTTATATTTTGTTAATAATATACTGTTTTTGCATTCATCAATGTATTCAATATTTATATCTATAACTAGATAACATTTGTATTTATATCATTTTAAAATTTAAATTTACATTGAATGAATCAGGGCATAAGTTTGTTGAGATTAAATAAATCTATTATCAAATGCTGGATGACTTTGTGGAATTAAAAAAAAAATTAAGGATAAGGTTTAAGTTCTTCTTCGCAGTCAATTGTTACACCTTTAGGTTGAAGTTTTGTAATTGCATGACCATCTCTATCAACACAGTAAAGTTGTGCATCGTGTTCTTGTTGGATCCTGTAATTTCCATTAGCTTCACAAACCATCGAAAACTCGAGATCATTTTCCTTGTACGTGGCACTATCTCTTGCACAATCTGAATAAATCACAATAAGAAATAATTTTAACAGTAATTTATTATAAATATATAATTCAACTGCGATCAGAACTACGCGAACTACGTTTTTAATCCGAGAGTAAAAATAAAAGCTTACACGAGGGTGGTGGGGTAAAGAGGACCATCTGAAACATTACCTTAGCAAAGGTGTAAAAAATAAAAAATAGCATATAAAGAATTAATTAAGCAATTTTACAAGAGATAAATTAAATATAGTTATTCCAACTCTGCTGATGAATATTTCTGACAAAATACTAAATCAAGGTTATATACAGTATTACCTCTGTAAAAGCTTTTCCACCACCCATATCTCCAAAACAAGTAAAATCAAGAATTTTATAACAATATTTGAAAGTAGAGGGAAAAAGATGCATAGCTATCATGAGATAAATGCCAATGTATGAAAATCCTTGGCAAAAGGATTTTTTTTTCGTTTAGTTTACGAAACCTTAATATGATTTTTAGGTATTCGTTGTTTAATTGTTTTATAAGATGTATTGTTAATTTTAAGTTGGATTCAACAATTCTTGTACAACCTCTATAAAAGCTTACACGAAGGTATTGGGGTAAAGAGGACCATCTGAACCATTACCTTGGCAAAGGTGTAAAAAATAAAAAAAAATACATATATAAAAGTAAAATTAAATTAAATAAAGCAATTTTACGAAAAATAATTTAAATAAATAGTTATTCCAACTTTGTTAATATATATTTCTGATGAAATACCAGATCAAGGTTAGTAATTAACAAATTAATAAACAATTAGTAAACAATTAAACAGTAATTCCTCTGTAAAAACTGTACCCATGAAATTTATATTTTTGAATTCATATTATTTTTGAATTGGTCGAATAATATAGCAATTATTTCGTAAAATGCATTTAATATTAAAAATGAGTCATTTAACAACCCCTTTTATGGGGTAAAAAGGACTAGGTGGTAAATTTTTGAAAAACGGTAAAAACACGTTTGTACAATGATAAATAGCTGGGTGTTTTATTGAACGTTTATTGATTTGGTTTCCATAATATAATTGCTCGAAGTCAAATTGGATCTTTGTGCCCCGACATTTTATATCAAATAGTGATGGCGTATATTATATATGTTGCAGAAATGCCCACGAAATGCGATTTACAATTTAGCTTATATTTCAAACATATAACCTCAAGTGGATATTTGACACCACACTGCCTTATATTGAGCAAGTCGAGTTTAGGGTCAGCCCTGAAACTATTGGTGCTACTCCGCGTTCTTGGGGGGCGTTCATTAATAACGTGATCGACTTTTTAATGATTTTTTGAACTCTCTCTCTCTCCCTTGGTGATACGTGGTGATATTTAAAATCACTCCCTACCCCACAAAACATCACGTGTATTTTTAGTTAAGACAAAAAATTGTAAAGTTTTTGAATTTTTTTGAAAATGTTTTGAATTTTTTAAAAAAAAATTAGGTGAAAAATAAATACACGTGATATCTTACTGTACCCCTCCCTCCCCCACGTGATATTTCGTGATTTTTTGTCAAACCCCCCCTCTTCCTTAAAACGTCACGTGATTAATGAACGCCCCCATAACTACTACACTCCACCATAGTGTAGCTCTATTAAGATAATAAAGAATATCAATAAAATTATTTTATTCCAAACTTACTGCAATCAATAGCATTTACAGATACACCAGATTCTGCTATCCATCCGTTTATCTGTACTTTGTCTTTACCCGAGCAAAATACTCTGAAAGATTAAATAGATTATAAATACGTCTGAAAAGATTAAATAGATTAATACACATTTTTTATTGTTATTAATAAAACATAGTTGAAAAATTGAAGTGAAACAAAATTTGTTCGAGTATTAAAAAATTAGTTAATGAAAATGATTTTTCTGTTCACAACCGTTTAGGTTGCTTTATTTAGGGAAAATGTAATCTCAAACAATTAATTATTCATACTGTCGTTAGTTATATTTCAATAATATCTTAAAGTTTAAAAAAATAGTTAACCCTAATAAGTTAAAGTTAGAGAATAATTTTTGATGAAAAACAAAATCTATCTTTGAACAAACCATGGAAAATATTATTTAAATAGCTAAATCTTAATTCTTAATGATTAAGTATATTATTTCCACATTTCCAACTTTCCTTAAGATAAAATGCAATTACTACATATTTTATACAGTCATAGCCTCAAAATATACTGGACATTTAAAAAAAAGTCCCAAAATTTCGTCACTTCTCCATGACCAGTATATTTGTCAATCAAAGTTAACTGGTCAAGATTAATATTATACAATGATACCTAATTAAAATAAAAAATACCTAAAGTTTTATATTATTGAGTTAATTATTATGATATTTGCTTTCAAAAACTCACTTTCCCTGGTTGAGCTGTACTGGTCCATAGGATCCATCGTAGTCGCAAAAAACACTTATCAATGAGGCTTCTTCAGTTCCTCTTGTTTTCAACAAAGCCCTTATTTGTGCCATTGCATATCTTTGGCTTTCGCATTGTCGCAAATATTGCTCACCGATGGCTGTGACATTGTCTATTTAAAATTACCGTGATTAATGCATATATATTTAATAAAAATGATATAATGATTTCAAGTTCTTTGTGCCAGCTGTTATTGCTAATGATCGCCTAAATAATTATTTTGGCTGGTACCTTATAAACTAGCACATAAGCTATAATTAACTTCACGTAGAGTAAGTTATAGTAATGGGCCAAAAATCGAAAATGAAAATTTTTGCATATCTTCACGTTTCAGAGGTTTCTGGACATTTTGGAATACCTCAGAAAAAAATGAATGTGTGTGTATGTGTGTTTTTTTGTATAGCGAAGGAAATGCTTTTATGCATCCCAGAGTGAAATGTATGTTGTGTATGTATGTGTGTGTGTATGTGTGTGTGTATGTGTGGAGACAATTTTTTGGCGACGATTTCGGGCATACATATTAACCGATTTGAATGATTACAAAAAACATTCGGTTCTTATTGATGACGAGACGTGCTGATTACTTTTT